ACACACACACACACACACACACACACACACACACACACACACAGAGGCAAACTCTCAGACTGCTCTTATTTGGGTGGGTCCCCACCCAGTCAAGACCTAAACTTCTACAGGTAGGCCCCTGAACTGTCATCTCCAAAACCTTCTTTGAGTTCTCTTCCAAAAGTAACTGTTTTATAAAGCTTGTAAGGTCAGGGAAAAAAGGAGAATTTTGATTTTTTTCCTCAATAAATGGTTGAGTGAAAGCTAAAGTTTGGTCCATACTTGTTCTAGTTAAAGGCAGTGGAACAGGAACTGATAATAACAAAAATATTGCAAAGTCATAACAAGGAGAGAAATATCCTAAGAAGGGTTTGCAGAACTTCTTGGACAGAGTCCACCCTTGGCCCCCTCGAACACACACACACACACACACACACACACACACACACACACACACACTCACCTCCTCTCTCTCTCTCCCCTCTCCCCCGGCACTCCCGATGGCTAAAAGCTGGCAGTTTATGCTTTGTAATATAAAACACAGTCTGGGGTTGTAGCTCAGAGTATAGCACTTGCCCAGCATGTGTGAAGCCCTGCACTGCAAAATAAGAAAGCAAAAAAGACGGTCAGGCATAGAGGCTCATGCCCATGCCCATAGTGGTACATGCTTATGTCCCAGAGTGCTAGGGAGGCTGAGGAAGAAGATGATTTGAGCCTGGCTTGGGCAACAGAGCAAAACTTTGTCTCAAAACCAGAAAATAAACAAACAGATAAAAACTCCCTAAAACACAGGAGGATGCAGGTGGGGACAGAGGGAAAAGAGGAAAAGCCTAGAACTAGAACTTCCTATAGGGATAGCCAAGGGAGGATTTCTTCTCTTGGGTTATTCTAGACAGTGCAATGATAAAGAACAGTTAGCTAAAAGAACAACTGCATCTGAGGAGGCAGAACAGGAGGCAGCTGCCAATTTTAATGCTTCTTCTTGATGGCTAATGGAGAACAAAATGGAAATAATCCCTATCCAGCAGAAGGCCCTGGAAACCTTTTAGGTTCTGAAGTGACTATAGCCAACATCCTGACACATGCTGCCCCATGAAGGAGAAAGGACAAGCCCCAAGCAAACTTGTGTGAGGTACATACGTGCTGAATGTGTCCATTTCTCCCGTGAGATTGATTCGTTCAGTCAGACTTACATCAACTTTTTCTTTGAGTTTTTCTTCTAACTGTTAGAAAAAGAGAAACAGAAATATGTTTAATGATTATCGAAGGAGTACAATAATAATAATGTTTACTAAGTTTGATGGATCAGATACAATTCTAGACACTTTCAATGATCCTTATTTAATTCTCTCAACCCTGTAAGGAAGATTCTATTATTATCCTCATCTTCCAGGTGAGAAATTAAGATTAGCTTATCCCAGACAGTAAGCAGTAGGGCCAGAAAATGAACTTCTTCATAACCAGTGTTGTACTTTTTCTTATGACACACCAAACATTTATAGTTAATCTTGAAAAGACCCTGATTTTTAAGATATTCTCTGCCTCAAGAACTTCAGACTTGCCCACCAACACTGGAAACCTTTGCTGATGAGTGGTAGTAAAATGAGTTAATCAGTTATATTATTTATTGAGCATTACTATGAGTCAACCAGCTTGCTGAGATATTGGAGACACAGTGGTAAACCAAAGAAACACTTTAGCCTATGGCCTAAGACAGAAACACATGCTCCTGCAGCCTCAAAGAAACAAATGATTGACCAGGAACTGTAAATATCCCTGGGAATTGATTCATCTAGCAATCCTAGTCCTACCAGTCTAAGAATGAATGTTTTGTGTTCAATTAAAAAGAAATTTTTTTTTAGTTGTAGATGGGACAAAATACCTTAATTTATTTATTTTTATGGGGTGCTGAGGATTGAACCTGGTGCCTCACAGACGCTAGGCAAGTGCTCTACCACTGAGCCACAACCCCAGCCCTTGTGTTAAATTTTAAAATGTTCTTATAATCCAGGCACAATGGCACATGCCTATAATCTCATTGGCTCAGGAGGATGAGGCAGGAGGATCACAGGTTCAAGGACAGCCTCAGCAAGTTACGGAGGCCCTGAAAGAACTGGGGATGTAGCTCAGTGGTAAAACACCCTGGGTTCAATTCCCAGTACCTAAATAAATAAATATTAGATAAATTTAAAAAAATTCTCCTGGAGATGTGTAAATTAGTGTAATTTTTTTGGGGGGGTTGGGTGGGTACCAGGGCTTGAACCCAAGGGTAATTAACCATTGAGCTACATCCCAAGCCCTTTTTTTTATTTTTAATTTTGAGACAGGGTCTCACTTAAGTTGCTTAGGCAAAGCTTTGCTTAATTGCTGAGGCTGGCTTTAAACTTGTGATCCTCCTGTCTCAGCTTCCCTAGCCACTGGGATTACAGGTGTGCACTACTGTACCCAGCTAGTATAATCTTTTTGAAAGGCCATTTATTTAAAAAGCAAAACTTTAAATACATGAAGTCCTTAATCTGGTAATTTCCCATTTAGAAATGTAGTTTAATGGAATAATGAAAATAATGTACAGAGATATGCAAGTACTCCTTGCAGAATTTATTAACTCAACCAACAGTTATCAAAAGCCTATTTTGTGCCAGACTAACAGAGCAAGAGAGTTATTCAGTGAACAAAACAGGTAAGATCCTGTTCTTGTAAAGCTGACATTCTACAGTTGGCAAATGTGGAAATCATTTACATATACAAAGGGCTGATGAAACAAATGAGGGCACAGGCTTATCATGCTTAAAATCTTCAATATCCCTTCCTATTACTCTGAAAATAAAATTCAACCTTCCAACAATGATTTGCATCGAGTCTAGCTCTCTGGCCCCGACTTGCCTGTTAGCCTCCAGAGCACTGGCCTTTGAGGTCTGTAGGACACACTGGGGATTCTTTTTTTAAAATATTTTTTTAGTTATACATTGACACATTGTTTTATTTATTTTTATTTTGTTTATTTATTTTTATGTGGTGCTGAGGATAGAACCCAGGGTCTCTCATATGCGATGCAAGCGCTCTACCACTGAGTCACAACCCCAGCCCCATACACTGGGGATTCTCCTTCAGGACCTTTGTACTCCACAGTTCTACTTCTCCCAGAAGTGCTTCCTGTTCATGTCTCCTAACCGGCTCCATTGCTTTGCTACACTCTCACTTCCCAACTCATTTACATTGGGTAAATACCTGGGAATGGCAACACTGAGTCATAATGCTTTATAAGACATTGTCAAACTGTTTTCTAAAATGGCTATATCTCCCTGTGGCCAATGTTTTCTTCCCCAGCACATTAAGTCGTGTGTATGGGATAGTGGAGCACCTGATGATTAGGGATTTTGTCAGTGTGTATTTTGGAGAGTGAAAGGTTCACAACTGACTAGTATCCAAAAGAACTTGTTTGAGGAATGGCAGGCAAGGTGTGATAGTGCATGACCGTAAGTTTTCAATCTGGGACCTTAGGAAAAAAATCAAATGGCAATACATATTATTTTATATTCTGATAATGAGAATTCCAGCTGTTCCATTTGTTGCCAATATTTGACATTGTCTTTTTGACTTTTAGCCATTCTAATAGCTATTTTGCCCTTTCCTACTAATTAATGATGCTGAACACTTTCTCTTTGCTTATTTTACATTTTTATATCTTCTTTTATGAAATGTTTTGCCCATTTAAATGGGTTGTTTGCCTTTTTATTGGTGATATTAGGTGCTCTTTGTGTATCCTATATTTTTCCAAGTCTGTGGCTCGTCTATTTTCTTAATGGAGTCCTTTGATAAGCAGAAAATTTTAATTTTGATGAAGGCCAATGTATAAAAAAAATTCCTTTTTCTGGTTAGTATCCTGACCAAACAATCTTTGTATACCCAAGGTTGTGAAGATCTTTTCCTGTTTTTCTTGTAGAAGCTTTGTGATTCTGAGCTTTATATTTAAGTCTATGATGTGTGTGTGTGTTTGTTTCTTGGAATTGAACTCAAGGGTAATCTCAACTGATACATTCCCTAGCCCTTTTTATTTTAATTTTGTTTTACTTTTAATTTTTTCTTTCTATTTTTATTTTGAGACAGGAGCTCGCTCAGTTGTCCAGGTTAGCTTCCAATTTGTGATCCTCCTCCCTCAGTCTCCTGCATTGCTGAGATTACAGACACACACCATTGACCTGATCTATGATCCATCTTTTCTTTTTAATATATTTTTTAGTTGTAGATGGACAATATCTTTATTTAACTTATTTATTTATATGTGGTGCTGAGGATCGAACCCAGTGACTCACATGTACTAGGCAAGTACTCTACCATTGAGCCACAGTCCCAGCCCCTCTTATCCATCTTGAATTAAGTTTTGTGCATGGTATGAGGAAGGAGTTCAGGCTGTTGTACATATTTAAAATCTGCTAACCAAGATGGGCATGGTGATGCATGCCTGAATAGTCATGATTTTTAGAAAGAGTTTTTTTTCTCTATTTAATTGACTTGGCACCTTTGTAGAAAATCATTTGGTCATATACATGTAGGTCCATTTCTAAACTCATTCTGTTCCACCAATTTATTTGTCTATACTTATACCACTCTGACACTGCCTTGATTACTATAGCTTTGTAGTAAGTTTGGTGCTAGATGCTGAGGATTGAACCAAGGGCCTCATACTTACTTGGTAAGGATTCTCCATTCCCCTGAACTACACCCACAGCAATATATAGTAAATCTTGAAATCACATAATAATATCATCCAATTATTTTCTTCTTTTTCAATATTGTCTAGTTCTCTATAAACTTTTATTGA